CGTGCCCTGGTGACCACGTCTCGCCATCCCCGCTGCAGGGCAGGCACCAGGACAAGCTAGGAGTTAGGACTGCACATGGCAGCAACTCGGCCTGGGTCCCGTGGAGAGAGCACCCTGCTGCAGGGCTCAATCAGAACGAGGGAGGGGGGGACCAGCAGTTAGCATAATGGCTATGTCGCTGGACTCCCACGTAGTTGACCGCAGTTTGAGTCCCGGACCCGGTGGCTTAAGCCCATGCCAGGCACGTGTGGGTGCGGGGATGCCCAAGATCCCAAGAGGAGAAAGGAGGAGAAGGGATTACGCCGTGGGCATCCCCCCTGGGGGGGTGATTTCTCGCTTTCTGTCTATCTCTGTCTGGCGAGTGCACGTGCCCTATAGCAAAAACCTCTCCAAAAAAAAAAGAACCAGAGGGGGACATGAGCCTGGGTCAGGATGTGGGATGAGGGTGGCGCCCAGCCTGTGTTTCTTGGCACAGGAATGGATGTGAAGACGGCACAGCCCCCTGTGGTCGGTCTGGCTCTCCCCAGCAGATTACCGTCTTGAGCCCCCTTTGACCCCTCATCCCAGTGTGCTGTCACAGAGGCAGGGGAAGGCCATACCGGAGTAATGGTCCACCAGGGCCTGGAGGGCAGGGAAGGTGAGGCGCGGCGAGATGTACAGCCAGCCGTTGTCAAGGCGCTGGATCCTGTAGTGCCTGATCCGGTCCCAGGATGCCGGGCGGCTGAGTCGGACCGACAGGGAGTAACAACCTGAGGAGGAAGGAGTGTGGGAGTGGCACTGAGGCCCAGCTGGGGACACAGCCCACCCAGGCTGGGGGAATGAAGTGCTGAGATGTGGCCACGGGGCCCAGGCAGGAGGGAAGTTCCTGGGGTAGAGACGGGGGCAGTGGCAGGGCCCAGCCTTGCTTCATCGGTCATAAAGAACGTGTTCCTCATGGGCGGACTCTTGATAAAAGGAGGTCACAGGTACAGCTCCAGACTGGCCTAGCCCGGTGTGAACAGCACTGAGCCTGGGCTGTTAGCACGCCAGTGGCAAAAGTGTTAGAATGTGAAAAGGTGTCGGGTACTGTCAGCAAGGAGGCAGAGCCTAGAGTCAAGCTCCCTTCACCACCACCACACGCCAGCCCCACTGCGGATTTCTCAGGCAACATGGCCAGTTCAGGGCTGCAAGGTGTATATGTGCGTCGTCAACTCAACTACTGGGTCATCTGAAAAGTCAGGACACATTTTTGCATAGAAAACACGTCATGACTTTCCCAACGACCTAATAGGTAATGCCAAGGTACGTGTTCTAGGCTCTGCCTCCTTGCTAACGAGTACCTGACACCTTTTCACATTCTAACACTTTTGCCACTGGCGTGCTAACAGCCCAGGCTCAGTGCTGTTCACACCGGGCTAGGCCAGTCTGGAGCTGTACCTGTGACCTCCTTTTATCCTCACAAGAGCCCTACCATGAGGAACACGTTCTTTATGACCAACACCCTTAACCACCACGCCACCTGCCGGCCTCTCAGTATTGTTTTTAAAAGCCAAAGACTGCCAGCAGCCCATCTGTACTTAGTAGAAAAATGTTAGGTGATAGAATCTTACTTTTTCATTTGCTGTAGGGCACATGTACTTGCTGGAGAAAGAGTGGGAGAGAAAAAGTAAGAAACCCCCCCCCCCCAGCCCCCCAGGGAGGATGGCCACACCACAGCCCCTTCCATTCTCTCAGGATTTGGGGCATGCACGCATAAGCATGCACACATGCCTGGTGTTTCTCAAGTGGCTGGATCTGGGACTAGAACCACACAGTTGATGTGGGATCCAGCTGCCTTAAACCACCACGCCACCAACTGGCTCTGTAGAATCTAATATTAAGCAGCAGTAAAACATTTAATAGCTGTTACATACATAAGCATAGATAAATTTTCTTTCACTTTTTTTTTTTTTGGAGAGGTTTTTGCTATAGGGTGTGTGCACTCGCCAGACAGATGAGAGAGACAGAAAGCAAGAAATCACCCCCCAGGGGAGATTGGCCACGCCGCAATCCCTTCTCCTTCATTCTCCTCTAGGGATCTTGGACACGCATGCACACACGCCCGGCGTGACTTTAAGCCACCGGGTCTGAGACGTGTAACTGTGGTTGACTACGTGGGAGTCCAGCAACATAGTCATTACGCTAACTGCTGGTCCCTACTTTTTTTGGTTTTTTTTAGAGTTTTTTCCCTTAGGGCACATGTGCTCACCAGACAGAGAGAGAGACAAAGACAGGAAAGTGAGAAATCACCCCCTCCCCCGCTGGGGGACGGTCTGCTGCAATTCCTTCTCCATTCTCCCAGGATTTCGGTCATGTATACAAACACGCCAATGTGATTTTCAAGCCACTGGGTCTGGGATTTAAAACATGGGAACCAGCAGTTAGCGTAATGGCTATGTTGCTGGACTCCCACGTAGTCAACCGCGGTTCATGTCCTGGACCCAGTGGCTTAAAACTCACACCAGACACGTGTGCCTGTGTGGCCATCCCCCCCTGGGGGTGATTTCTTGCTTTCTGTCTCTCTGTCTCTCTCTGGCGAGCGCACGCGCCCTACAGCAAAACCTCTCCAAAAAAAAAAAACAAGTCTAAAAAAACATGGTTGGCTATATAGGAGTCCAGCAACGTAACCACTATACCACCTGCTGGCCCAACATATATAAATCTTAAAAATAGCAGAGGAGGGAACCAGCAGTTAGCGTAATGGCTATGTCGCTGGACTCCCACGTAGTCAACCGCGGTTCATGTCCTGGACCCAGTGGCTTAAAACTCACGCCGGGTGCATGTGCGTGCGTGCCCAAGATCCCGAGAGGAGAATGGAGGAGAAGGGATTGCGGCGTGGCCATCCTCCCTGGGGGGTGATTTCTCACTTTCTGTCTCTCTCTGTCTGGCGAGCGCACGTGCCCTATAGCGAAAAAACCTCTCAAAAAAAAAAAAAACAGAGGAGCCAGCAGGTGCCATAGTAGTTAAGGTGCTGGACTCTGGGATAATTTATTTCAATTTTACATGAGAGAGAGGGAAAGTAAGAAAGCAAGCCACCAGGGGGATCAGCAGTTAGCGTAATCGCTGTGTCGCTGGGCTCCCATGTGATCGACTGTGGTTTGTGCCCCAGACCTGGTGGCTTCGACTCTCACTGGGCGCAGGTGCATGCGTGCCCGAGATCCTGAGAGGAGAATGTAAGGGAAGGGATTGTGGCATGGCTATCCCCCATTGGGGTCGATTTCTCGCTTTCTGTATCTCTTTCTGGCAAGCACACATACCCTATAGCAAAAACCTCTCCAAAAAAAAAAAAAGCTATCATGTCCGGGACTTGAACCGCTGTCAGCCATGTGGGAGTCCAGCACCCTCCCTTAACCACCATGCCACCTGCCAGCCACTTAAAGAATTATTTTTTTATTATTATTGAATAAAAGGATTCTTTTTTTTGAAAATAATTATTCAATATTTATTTATTTATTTAAATTTGACCAGAGTGAGAAAGCAAGCCACTAAGTCTGGGACTCAAACTGTGCTTGGCCATGCACCCTTAATTACCACACCACCTGCCAGCCTCTCTTTTTTTATTTTGAGAGATTTTTGATACAGGGCTTGTGCACTCTCCAGACAGAAAAGAAGAAATCACACCCCTAGAGGGATGGCCATGTTGTACTCCCTTCTCCTCCATTCTCCTCGGGATTTTGGTTACTCATGCACATGCACCCAGCATGAGTTTAAGTTACCAGGTCTGGGACTTGAACCGTGGTTGACTATGTGGAAGTCCAACCACATAACCATTATAGCATCTGCTGGTCCCGAGAGAGGCATTTCTGACAAGGTCTTGCCATGCCTTGATCCTCCTGTCCTAGCCTCTGGTTAATAGTTTTAAAATTCCCACAAACAGATTAGGTCTAGATGGCTTAACTAGTAAATTCTATCAAGCAAGAAAAAAAGATACTGTACTCCCTATACACTCCTACATCAACTTTTTATTTATTTTTTTGCCATAGGTTGTGTGTGTTCTCCAGAGAGAGAGAGAGGGGGAAAGTGAGAAGTCACCCCTCAGGGAGGATGGCCACACTGCAACTTCTTCTCTATTTTCCTCCTAGGATTTTGGGCACATATACACATGCGCCCAGTGTAATTTTCAGGCCACTGGGTCTAGGAATTGAACCACGCTGTCAACCATGCCGGAGTCCAGCACCTTAACTACTCCGCCACCTGCTAGCCCCAAACTACCTTTTTAAGAACAGTCTCTTCTGAAAAAACTCTGTGGCTAGGAAAGGGCCACAGATCTGAAAATAGCCCCAGAAGGCCAACCAACCCAGCTGAACTGGCTGTCCTCACACGTCCTTTGCGTGGTTCTTCAGCTATCCCACCCTGGCCACTGTCACCGGAGTTAGAACCAGAAAGCGCTGCTGCACTGGGGCTCTCGTGACAGCTCACCGACAGGGCCACTGTGACTGGGCCACCAGACAGGTGGTCTGCTGTTCTTTCTCATTGCATGCTCCAGCCAGTCCCAAATACCTACTGCTCTCCTCAGTTCCAGGACATCTCCCTAACTGAGCCTGCCTGGGTTCGAGTCCCCAAAGAGCCACATGCTGTTACACTGCGGCTGCCCCGTGCTCATCAGCTGTCTATAAGACACACTGGCCTTTCAGATCTCTTCATCTGCAAAGAGGCATGATAACATCCCTCATCTCCCAGATCGCAAGGATTCAGGTAACAAAGCAGATAAAGCATTCAGCATGCAGCCAGCACCTCGCCACCCTAAGCAGGCCTCTGGTCCATTGCTCACTGTCCTCACATGGAACACCCTCACCCACGCGACCTCCACCTTCCTCCTACAGCTCAGCTGTTTAGACAGCTTCCAGAACTCCTTCCCTGTCCAGGAGGAGCCGCAGCTCTGGGCTCACAACCACCAGTTCACGGACACCAAGTGTCAGCCCATCCCTCGGTTCTGCCCCCATACACAGATCAGCAGTCATGAGCTTCGATAGATGACTGACTTCTCCCGCCATCTTCCCCTCAGTCTGCAGTGCACCCTCCCCACCCACCCTTCAGCCCCATCGCTTCCCCTCCCACATCGCACATTCACCTTAAGAGAAAGCCCGTTGGCTACATTCAGAACACATGCAGACGGCCCGGCCACCACCCACTGAGGGGCCTGCGACTTCTCTCATGAAAGAAACAAACTTGAAAAATAAATCGAAACTCACCCGAGAAGGCCCTGCATGACCCGCTACCAATGACCCACTCCCCTGTGCCTCTCTCACCTTGGATCTGCTCCAGGCTCACGGCTGCTGGGCCGAGGCCTTTGCACATGCACGCATGCACACATGCGGGGCATCAGAAAGCTCGTGGGGAATGGAATTAAAGTACGAGGTTAATTCCCAGCCTGTGCTAAAGACGGACCTGGGACGCAGCAGAGAACGTGTGCTCATGGGTGTCTGGTGGACGGAGGGCGCTGGGAAAGCTGTGTACGCAGGGTGCAGGGCCTATAGGAGGAGCCACTGACAAAAAGCAAAGTCTAGATTCCAGAAAGCTCCAGCAGGCTTAAACCATGTCACAGCTGGGATCTCGGATCTGCAGTGAAGATGCTGGCAGGAGTGGTGGAGTGCGTCAGGAGCGCTGTGGGGAGTGATCTTAGGAGGACCCTCCTGAACTTCCTCTGCTGAGGCCTCTGAGAAATTCAGGGTCCCAGGACCCACCACCATCTGCATCCTGAGGACAGGGACCACCCAGCAGGCCTCACAGG